CCAGAAGCACATTGCATTTATGCACTGTATATTCCAGTAGTTTCCATGTGATGATATAAAACATGGATGTCACTTTAAGCTTTTGTTGAGAGTCTAGGACACTATTGGTTACTTGGCAGTTTTTTAGAGACAATCATTCATACAGACACATTAATCTAAACAGGATTTTAGCTAGCTGTTCTAAAACAATGTAAAAATGATGGAAGGTTTGGGGTTTTTAATTAAAAGGGAGGGTGGGTAGGCAGCAGAAAATCTGTAAACTGTGAGGATTAAAACTCCATGTTTGCAATGGTAATTTTTTGCTTTTGATTTTTGCCTGGCAACAGTACTTTAGCAAAAACTGGAGCTGTCTTTGTCACCCTCCTGTCACCCTGTAGGTGGGCATTCCGAAACTCTTGTACTGTACTGAAATGCTTTGCAGTGGCTGTTAGTGGCACACTGTTGACAGCTTGAGCCTTATGGCTGGAGACCTTCAATTGTGGAACTCTTGCCTTCTTGCTCAATTCAGTAATGTATTGAGCTGAAAAGTCCTGGTTCTCTTTAGCTGCATGTCCAGGACCAGAAAATGCCACATACTGGCTCTTTCTTTTTGAAAACCAAATGAGCACAGGCAGTTAGGCTTTTTTTTTTAATCTTCCCTCCATCTTATCTTATTGCAGCCACTCAAAGTGGAAACTAAAGGGTAAAGATATTAAAGAAAACCCCTTTTGCCTTGCTACCCTTGTTTCCAACAGTGGATAAACTTTCTGAAACCCAGGCACTGTAGGGACATGTAGGTAATCTGATGGCTACCAGCAAACAGTGGTTCCTGATGCTAAACATGCTAGGATATTTTTATTCTTGTTGACATTTGGTGTTTGGAGGCTCAAAATTGTAAAGTTGAATATTTAATTTAACTAAGTGTTATTGTATCTTTAAAAAACAAAACACAAACACAACAAGAAAAACCTCACAAAATTGGTCTCCTCTCCTAGTAGAATAGACTTGGGATGCTTTTACCCTTCCATAATTGAACATGCCTCTCTCTCATGATATATATATATATATATATTTAAACACACACATTCATTTAATTGTTCCATAGTCTCTTCTGGCATTTGTCAGAAAGGAGAATTACTGTTAGAATGAGTCTGTACAGTTGCAAGGTACACTTGCAGACTTCTGCCTGTATCAGCACTGACTTGATGATGTCCTCTTAATTTGTTGAAAATTGTTGCATGAGCAAACAATCTTTAACAGAGGTGCATTCTTGGAAAAACTGCTCAGTCTTAACAGCTTGAAGGAAGAGGCACAACATAGTCAGCTGCCCTTTACCTGTCTGCAACAGTTACTCTACACCTGGACCTTCTCCCCCAACCTCCTTCTTCATTGCACTGTTGTCTAAAAAGGGAAGTTAAATGGATTATAATACATCTGCCTCAAACTGACCTTAGCAAGAGTAAACATGTGGTTGTCTTTAATTCACTCCTTATGTCTGGGTATTATGAACTATGTGGTACTTAAGATCTTTCCTTAGTAGTCTCTACCTGTAATTACCTGCAACAGGAAGAGGAAGGAAGGGGTGCCAGAGCCTTAACTTGAATGTCTTGCATTTGGTTGGTTTATACCAGATCTTTAACATAATTGTAATGTAGTAATTTCTATTTAATAGTAAATAACACTGAATAGGTAGGGGTTATTTGTAAGGGATTTTCTAAATAGTCTTCCTCTGTTATTTTCCAATGCTTCTCCCATTTCCTCCTCCCTCCTCACCCCTTCCTCCCTAAATTCAGCCTTCTTTGACATTTGTTTTCTTAGCATCACTCTTGAGTTGCTTCACTGATATGCAATATTAATAATGCCTTTAATACATAATTGTTTATGCCAAAGATCACTTTTTGTTTATTGAGGAATGTTTGCAGAAAAGTCATCAATCATGGTTGCCTTTGATATTTTTCCAGAATGTTTGCTCTAAGTTCTTGAACTCTTTTGTAGAAGCTAAGATACTTGTCCACTTTTTGCAGTTACTGCTTTTTTGAACACTGTTGGCCTTCAGACCTGAAATACAGCAAATTTTAAAAAGACCACGAATGTCACTCGGAAATGTTTTACCGCTCTAAAACTTTGTTTATAAACCAAAATGTATTGCATATGCTTTCAACCTTACTTTGGTTCTGTTAAAACAATAAAAATGCATTTCTACAAATACCAGCTTGTGAGTATGAATGATACCAGAGGAACAGATGAACACTGAAACAGCAAGAGGAGTAAAAAGCTAAAGCAGTAGAGATACAGATGTTTCTATGTATTCTGAACAGGAAAAAGGGCCAATTTAATGAAACAGGAGAAGATTAAAACAAGCTGTTTTCTTTTGTGCCTGTAAAACGAGTAATTAAAGAAATTCTGGGAAGCTGCAGTCCAGTGGGAGAAAATGCAAGCTCTTCCAGAGGCCTGATGGTCGTCTGTTCTAGTAGCACTGAATGAGGTTCTGAAAACTTGGGAGTGCTACCTGATTCAGTAAGAACTGCTGCTCTGGCTACCACTTAATTAACTGAATTTTACATTGTTAATTTGGGTGCAAGGGCAATTAACATCGAATCACTGTCCTATTTCCTTTCACAGTAAGAACCTCTTCAACACTTTTTCTCTTGAAAAATTTCTGTCAGCACACATAATATTCTGACTTTGTAGAACCAACGTTCATTGGTACTGTAGGACTGAAAATAGTCCCTTAGTGCTGGAAGGCATCTGGGATTTAGTAATAATAGGCAAAATTCAGATTTCATAGTGCTCACACAGTTCTGTCCATATCTGAGAGAGGATGAGAACCTGACAGTCACCACTGTCAGCACTGAACACCTAGAGAACGGGAGATCAGAAATTGGCAGTACTCACTTCTCAACGACATTCTCCAATTTCTTAGGCTGTACTATTCATACAGGTGCTGGTGCAATTTGTTTATTTAGCAGGGAGAATATGAACAAAGCCCCCCCTTCTGCAGCTTCTGCAGTTGAGATTCCTGTATTTGGAGAAGTGGCAGGAGCCAGCACAGCTATAGCAAAAGGTACAAGCCTCACAACAGCATTTCCCTGTTGGAAATAACCTTCAGGCTCAGGATGCTTTCCTGCCAGGTGCGTGTAATTCTTGTTGACTGTCACTTCTGGTGATGGGTTGTGAAGCATGGATGAAGGCTCTTCCAGGGACAGAACCTTTGCACATGTTTCCCGGGTGCCTGAGTTACAGAAGGTTGGCAAGACTTGTTCTGTAATGTGCTGAAGGGAAGTGTTGGTGCTGAAGTTGGCCAGTTGTTAAAATACATCATGGTCTGTGTGGGCAATGGTGTTAGTTCTAAAAGGGGATCTTGCAGTGTTTCCAGGCTGCTAATGTATAGAGCACCTCTACCTACTTAGACTTCAGCTTGGGACATGGCAGTTACATCTGTTCGCAAGTCTTGCAGTAAAATTACTGTAACAGAAGGATGTAATTTACTGTAACATGGAGTAGGACTGTGGGAGGAGTAATAATGAATTGATGGATGTTTCTTTAGTTGAAAAAGGTAGATGAAAAGGTTAGTAGCTTTCAAAACCCAGTGATGTGTTTACACAAATGCAAGGCTTTCTTACATGTGCTGGTTCTTAAAAGTGCTGTTTTATCAATACTAGTATACTGCAATTTCAGAAATTGAAATTGGATGTCTGTGGCCTAGTTTACCCTAGTAATATTACCAAAATTGCCAGCAGAAAATAGATGCTCATTTCTATTCTTACTGGCATGCTGCCAGCATTTAGATAGGTTCCCCTTCCTGTTTTTCAGACTGGATCACGTTTTTGTCCCAAAACTTAAAATTTTGACTTACTTTTGAATGACTGGTTCCTACTCTTCAATCTGAAGCTAAGTTAGCATCTGTTCATTAATTTGCAAGCCAAACACGTTAGGCAAATAAATAATCTTCAATATGCCACCCTTCCTTAATTCTAAACTTCAGTTTCTCAGCCTACTGCGTGTACTGACCGAAAGTATGGCTGGAAACCTGGCAGGTACCATGGGGCATATATCAGATTACAGAGTCAGCAAGTTTATGCTGCTGTAGAAGGACAAGTTCAGTCAGCTTTGCATCATCGCTGTTGTCTTTGAAATGTCACAATCTAAACATTAATTGTCCTTCATTTAAAAATAACAGAATATGAAAGGGAGCTTACCTGCCATGCTTTTAAGTGCCCTTTCTAAACTTTAAATAGCTGCTTATACTGAGCAAGTTCAGTAAAGATGTAGCAAGTAGTCATAATTTAATTGTATATCGGATGTCTCCTGCCTAAGAGCATCATTAATAATTTATAATAGCAAACATTTCACCAGAGACCATGTGTTTGCAGAAGAGTTCCCTTTATTTTGTAAGATAAACGCACACAACCATTAAATACACTTGACACTTCTATTGTGCTATCTAAAAAGCTACACTTCAGTATACACATGGAACAAATGTGGTGGCATCCATTTTGAACAAGTGGAGTTTCTAAATCAAAGCAAAGGTTTCACGTAAAAAATAGATCTTATTCTCTGCAATTGTATTCTTAAAAAAATGATGGTGATTGAGACTGAATGAAAAGAAAGTGGATTACTGAAGCAACCATCACCTCCCAGATTTAATGCAGAAAGTTATTATCAGCTTGTCTGCAGATGGCACAAATGAAAGCTGATTAAGGCAAATGCTTCTTGAGAAAGGCAATTTCTTGTAAACAACAAGGACATAATTTTTTTTCTTCATGAGAAGCAATTTCAGGAGTGATACTTGCTATGTCCTTAGGCCCCTGTGGGTCCCCTGCCCCTCTCTGCTGTGCTCTACTTAAAGGATTACATGACACTGTGGAATGCCAGCTTGCAGCTGGCTGTGAAAATAGCTGAGCTTCCTCTGCAGGCAGCTTCGGCAGCATAATGTGCCACCCCCAGGCTTTTCCAATGGCCAGTCAGGCCTTAGTGATGTTTTTGGCCTCTGGGCTTTGGTATCTGCCTGGCAGTGTAGTGTTTGACATCCTGTGGATCACCTACATCAAACTATTCACAATTCAGTAAAAAAAAAAAAGGTGAATGTGTATTAGAAAAAAAGTACCTTATTTTAAAGCCATAATAAGAAAATCTAAGCTATGCCTTCATTTTAAGAGGTGCTCTGCACAATTTCTTTGATCCCAAACTAATCAATGTCTTAATTATTTGGCACCTAATTATAGCAACATAAGTCACTAAGCAGTCAAGTTTGTTTTTTTTTTTTTAAGGGGAATTTTCTCCTGGAAGAGGAGGATCTTCTTATGTCCTGACTTGGAATTTTCCTGCTTTTGTAATATATTTGACACCTTTAAAAGGCTTGTATTTTTCTCCATACATGTCTAGACGATTCACTTTCAGTCCTGAAAAAGACAAAAATGAGTATAAAGGTAAAAGCAGAATGCTAGATATCATGTCAGTCTTGTTTAAAAGTCCTGCTTTCTTGAAGCATGTTAAAATTGGTTGGAAAGCTGATTTTCTTTCCTGTCACAAGTTCATCCAGTTCAAAACAGCAAAAGGGCCATTCTTCACACCTGGTCAGAGGGAGGGCAAAAACTTCTGTTCTACTCAGTGAGCCAACATCCTCCTTCTAAGGGATGAACTATTGAACAACTGCGTCTACCTCCTACAGATCCTGTACACTGCACTCATTTCCAATGATGTAGATGAGGCAAAGGACAAGTTTTAGAATTCTTTTCATCTGAAGTCATAATTTCAAGGACCATCAATCCCCTTGCTATTAGCTTAGAAATCCCAGTTAACTATTAATAATCTGAAAGTTTCCTGCTTTCTCACAGGTCTACTACCTTTAGCATCCAGCCATGGGATCTGCTATGTTTTGCTAGATTTAATCTACTAGATTGCAAGTTTAAGAGGAAACTGCAGGATTCTGTTCTTATAAAAGGACTAACCATTATTTATTCAGCAAAGTAGTCTAGGAAGCAAAAGGACCACAACCTGATACTTAGCTAGAAAAGTACTATATGAACTATCACAGATGCTCTTCTACAATCTTTACTCCTTCTCATTCCATGCAGGTGTGAGTCTTTGCTTTGTTAAGGTCTTAATTCTGCAAAGTTTGCTTGCAGAAGCACTTTACACATGGACAACTCACATGATCTAAGTTTTTGCAGACATCCATCACTCTTCACTAAAAGGATAAATTTGGATGTTTAATGCACAAGTCAACAAATAAAATTCCATTCTTCTGTACACTTCTCACAGTCCTTGAGCAAAACAATTGGGAATTCACAAGGGTATCTTCCAGCAAGGGTAATTGTCAGGTTTGGCTAAACCAGACTTTCCCTTTTTGGACCAAGCCAACTTCAGATCACTATTTCCAATTAATAGGTGAACAGTTTCTCGCTTTGTTTCCTACTGCTACTCTTTCTGTCAGTACTAATTTCACACAACACCTACACACTCACCTGAAATTGCAAGCTGTTGTATCTTAAACTGGATGTTTAAACTTGGATTCTCCTCTGGCTTGGGGGCTCCAGACTGCAGGTTCACTATGCCTTTCAGGTTTGGTAGCTTTTGAGGGGTGATTTTGCCAACATCCCAAGTTAACACCTTTGTCAGGAAATAGAAAACAGTAGCAGTAGCTTTCTAGGAAACAAGCCATGAAGTTAAGTTCATGTCAAGCTTTTAGTTTGCAGTCTGGCTACAGAAAGTAGCCTGGTAGCCTCGAGAATTATTCTACCAGTTGGAAGATGGCAGGCGGCATGGTTAGGGCTCCTGAAAGTACAGTGTCTTTTCTTTCCTGACATCTTGTTTGTCCTGTCAGTGTTTGTTAGCAGTTTTGAGCACCTACTATTCTGTTCCTTTAGTAATGGTGATTGTTCCTGTTGTCACATTGGGTCAGCTAGATCCATGAAGCAAGGATAGTATGCAACACAAAGTTCATAGTAACTTAACTGCAAGAATGAGAACAGGAGCAGGGCACTTGGCAAAAAGAGCCAAGATAACATAACTTTCCTGAAGCTCACTTGTTTCTCATTGATTCTTACACTTTAAATAAGATTCATGGAATGAAATTGGCCCTTCACTTGTCCTCAAGAAGATTTTTCCTCTCATCCCAAACTTCAAATTGTTGATAAATGCAGTTACAATCCAACTAGCTATTCCAATTCTTTATAAAAAACAGTATAATTCTGCAGAGGGGGAAGGAAACTTCAAACTGTTTTATTGGTGTTTTCCTTTTTAAAAGATCTCTTCTTTTTGAAACTAAATGTTACTTGAAGAGCTCTCACTTAAAATTTAAATCAAATGCTGACTGGGATATTCCAAGGGCAGAAGAAAGCTCAGAGGAGGGTGTTAGAGCCAGCCGAATGGCTTGGCTCAGACTGCACATCAGCAAAATGGTTCCTGGGTGCTAAAAAGCTTCAGCAGCTTTATGTCTCAAAGCACAACTAAGAGGTAAGAAAGCAGGACTCCCAAGATAGAGTTTTACAGACCTTTTGCCTTCCTTCCTGTGTGTCTAGAGGCAGATCTTCTGGAAGAGCTGTTATCTTGTTTTTTGTTGTTGTTTAGGTTTTTTTTCCCCTCATCTGCTCCCTGTGTTTCTGGCTACCTATTTTCACATCTACTGCATTTTTTCCAGATAGGTATGTTTTAAAGGGCATAGATTCCAACATATACCATAGCTGAAATAAACAGCAAAATACTGCTGCATCCACTAGAGTGATGTATTAGGGCTGTCAAGGAGCAGAAGGAGAGGGGAAGGGAAAGGAGAATGATAGAACCAAAAATCACTACTGGTGTGTATCTAACTTTAAATAAGTAAAGGTTGAAGAGATGTTTTTTAATTATAACATATGCCAAAGGGAAAGTTTTCTGCAAAGGATGGAACACTTCTCCATTGCTCTGCAATATGTATGACTTGTTCTAATATTGTCTTAGATATTTAAATAAAAACTGAAGACTTACCTTAGTAACTGGGTCAAATGTGTAGCTGCCTTGTGTAGAGGTGAGGTTCATGTTAAGTACAGCCTTTGGCATGTGAACTGTCATGACAACTCCTTCTACTGTTTTCCCCATATTCTGTTTTGGTCCAATGGTAACATCAAATCTTCCTGAAGAACTATTTTCCTTAAAACTGATCACATGTTTCACATATACAGGAATGGCCACTAAGCTGAAAAGAGAAGAGAGTAGCTGAATGCATCCTGGCTACTTCTCTGCTTGAAAAAACAAAGCTCTTTCTCATAAATAGTTCTTGTGTTCCTGGCAGGTATTCAAGTTAGAATCAGTTTGTTTCAAAAGTGCAAAGTGATACTCAGCTCTTCATCACTATTGCAGAAGTGATTTTATTAGCAAAGAATCACAGGAAAAAAAAAGTATTTTCTTCCATATCACTTGTCCTAGAGTTTTTCCCTGCCATCTGTTTATTTTTTAAAGCAATCTCACTGAGCCAATTCTCAGAACAGCCAGCAGTAAAAACGGACATAGTTTGTAAATATCTGCAGTTTAGATTTCTTTGCTTTATTCTTTTTATGAAGATCAGAGCCCTCTATGTAAACATACTTAGCCATCAAGCATCTAGCAGCAACAATGATTACCAGGAATGAAGAGCCCTATATTACTGCCATGTGTGGTTTATCCCACTGTAAAATTATTTCTGAGTATCAGCAGCTCACTGAAAACCTGTTTTCTTGTTTTAGAGGGGACAGAGCAACAGATGAGACAAAACCTGAGAGACATGCATTATAGCAACAATGCCAGTTCCCCCCAGAACAAGGAGAAATCTGCAGTTCCTCAGATAAAAAGCAGTAGATTGTGTATCTGAAGAAACAGTGTGTCTAAACAGAAACGTACTTCTGTGAACTGACACGGTAGGAGATCAATCTGAAATTCCCATCGGGAGGAATAAAGGAAAGAACTCTCTCAGACTCCCAGCGTTTGAACCGAATACATGGGTGGAAGCTGACGTCATCCAGCAGCCGTGGATTCTGTAAGTAGTGGCAGAGTGGTAAGTGAAATCTCATGAAGTATCAGCAGTTTGAACTAGCTACTGAACTCTACACAATTCCTTTTTCTTAGACTCTTAAGTATCAGTCCTTGCCATTATCTGAGACATGCTACTGAGCTAGATGGACTTCTGGTCTGATCTGGTATAACAGTTCCTGTGAGGGTATTTTTATGTACAGACAAAAGCCATTCTAACTACTGAGCAATGCAGCAACTTCTACAATATAATGCAACACTTCTTATATTTCATATGTGTAACAAGTTAAGGAGCAATTGTATTCTTAAAATTGTTTACCTCTGTTCATTGAGCAAAATAAATCCCAAGCAATTAAAATTCCCAAATATATTATAAGTTTACCATGAAAGAAAGAGAAAGATCTGGCATTCC